TGAGGGGTGGGGGACGATGAGAAAGGGAGGCGCAGCTACTGGCAAAATGCTCGGTCTTTGCGTTAGCCGGACCCCCACCGGCGGCCCCACCCCATTCCTGACTACCGCTGTTGGGGCGGGGGGCAACATAAATTACCTCGCTTGCGAGGCCCTATGCTTGCAGGGGTCCCCTCTATATAGTCTTAGGAGTAGTGGTAGGAAGGTAGTGAAAGGTGAAAAAAGAATTTGAGAGATTTTATTTTTGAGCATCAGCCTCGGGCACTGGGCCCGTTTATTAACAAAAAAAAAAAAAGCGTACGTACCTCCACTGCATTCCTTGCGCTGGATTCATTCCCTATAATACTGTTGCTGTCAACAGCAAAACCACCACTGCGGCCTCCCGACCCCTTTCCCAGGCTGTCCTGTAGTCGTTCCCCCCACGTATCTTCACCTTGCAGCATAAATGAAATGTCTGTCCACTTTGACCCATCCACTGGGGGGACCACCACCGGGACAGCGGTTGCGCTATCCGAAGAGTCCAATGAGTAACATGATGAAGGGGGCTTGCGAAGATGAGAAGGAAACTGTTGAAGTCGCACCTGCACTGAGAGTCCATGCAATCACATACCTAAGAGCTTAGCTCTGCAGAAGGAAAGTTTTTTTTTTAAATAAATAATAATAATTATTATATAATATCAAATAATTTAAAATTATTATCTGAATTCTTTTTTAGTTAAAACTTAAAAATAATAAAATGTTTCTTAATATTAATAACGGAGACAGAGCAAGGTCTGCGTGTGTTGAGTTTGGTGGTGGTTGGAGTCTTGGAGATGACTGTTTGGGCCAGCCCTAAAAAAATCCTGAAAATCCTGAAAACTGAAAAGAGGGAATTTTGCATGAAAACACACTTTTGCCATGGGGTTTAAGGCCCTTTTGATCCATTTTTTTCCTTTTTTTGTTTTTGTTTTGCTGTTGGTTTATTTGGTGTCCACTCTAGCGATTGGCGACAAGTCTGGCTTAAACCACCAGTACTTGGCCTAGCTATCAGCCGCGGGAAAAAGAAAGAGTAGAAACATTTCTAGTCGGATGAATTTGGGCACTCCTGTAGTAGCCAGTACGTTTCCTAAAATTGTGGCGCGTTAACGGGCACGACTCTAGGAAGTACTGGCGGTTTAAAAGGTGTGGGATGTTTGTTATAATGACCCTACCCTGAAAATTTAGGCTCCGTTAGCCGCTTCTCATATATTCATGCGCTATATGTTTTCTCTAAGTGACGATGTACCGATTTTCCAGCAGGGGATGCTCCCCACCAATAGACTGCAGCCAGCCACAGGGCTGCAAGAGGTGTCTGCTCATACCAGCACCCTACCAGACTTGAGGTCTGTTAGGGGAAGAAAAAATAATAAAAAAAAGAAGGCACATGATAATGCTGCACAGTGCACATCACTTTCTTAGACCGAAATAGTTTAAAGAAACCAGCCATAACAAAGGCTCATGGTTATTAAAAAAAAAAAAAAAAAAAAAAAAAA